TTCAAAGCCAGCCTGGGCAGGAAAGTCTGTGAGACTCTTATCTCCAATAAACCACTCAAAAACCGGAAGTGGCTCTGTGGCTCAAGTGGTAGAGTTGAAGAGCTGAAGAGCGCAGGGACAGCGCCCAAGCTGAGTTCAAGCCCCACGACTGACCCCCCCAAAAAAAAAACTAGAAATAAATTATTATTAGCACTTTGAAATGCTTTTATTTTTGTCTCTCTTTTTTTGCCAGTCATGGGGCTTGAACTGTGGGCCAGGTTACTGTCCCTGAGCTCCTTTTGCTCACAGCTTGAACCATAGTACCACAGTACCATTTCCTGATTTTTCTGTGATGAATTGGAAATTAGAGTCTTGCAGACTTTCCTGCCTAAACTGGCTTTGAACCATGATCTTCAGATCTCAGCCTCCTGAATAGCTAGGATTATAGGCATGAGCCATCGGTACCTGGCTTTTTTTGTCCAAAATTTCTATCAGAAAATGTAAATGACTCAATTAAACAGAGTTTAGATTTTATTTGTGCTAAAATATGTGAACTTAAGTTCTCTGAAGAAGTTACATCTGGGGCTGGGAAGGTGGCTCAGTGGTAGAGCGCTTGGCTTGCATGCCTGAGGCCCTGGGTTCAATTCCTCAGCACCACATAAGCAAAAAAGAAAAAAGCCGGAAGTGGCGCTGTGGCTCAAGTGGTAGAGTGCTAGCCTTGAGCTGGACCCCCAAAAAATAAATAAAAACAAGTTACATCTGTATTGATTCTGCAGACTGCCTGACCTCGCCTGAATAGAACATTGTGACTGTGGAGATGGAATGCCATAGGTCATGAGCCAAAATTACCTTGGGCTATTTTAGGCCCTTTATTTTTATTTATTTATTTTTTTGGGTCCGGTCGTGGGGCCTGAACTCTGGGCCTGGGCACTGTCCCTTAGCTCTTCAGCTCAAGGCTAGTGCTCTACCACTTGAGCCACAGCGCCACTTCCGGCTTTTTTCTTTTTTCTTATGTGGTGCTGGGGAATCAAACCCAGGGCCTCAGGCATGCAAGACAAGCACTCTACCACTGAGCCACCATCCCAGCCCCTATTTTAGGCCCTTTAATAGCCACTTAACTTTTGTATCACGTCTAACATTCTCCCAACTAATAAACTTTTTTTTTGTTGTTGTTTTGGTCTGTCATGGGGCTTGAACTCTGGGCCTAGGCACTGTCTCTCAGCTCTTCAGAGTAAGGTGAGCACTCTACCATTTGACCCACAGTGCCACTTCCAGTTTTCTGAGTGGTTTATTGGAGATGAATCTCACGGAGTTTCTTGCCAGGCTGGCTTTGAACCGCAATCTTCAGATCTCTGTCTCCTGAGTAGCTAGGATTACAGGCGTGAGCCACTGGTGCTCTGCTAAACTTCTTAATATATTATTAAGCTTATATGACAACCTCTGTTGTGTCAGTGTGCTAATCTAACTGGTAAATGTGTTGAATAATGATTTTATTTTGTTCTGTACTACAAAACCTCATGCAATCTCCTCCATAGTAGAACATGTCATTCAGAGTAGTTTGAATCCATGTTCCCAGGTCGGGATTATTCATATTTGGCTCAAAATTCTTTATATCAGAATGTATTATATCCTTTAAAACAGGGGTATTGAAAGGTTAAAGTTTGAGGCAGTGACCACGTGTTGCTTGTTTCCGTCTAACAAAGCAACACGTGGTGGTAATCAAAACACCTGGTTGATTGTGTGCCTATATAAGACCTGCAAATCCTTAGCCCCGGGCTCTCCTCCTAGGCTTCGCTGTGTTGGAGCGTAGGACGAGGCCTGAGCTGCAGCCCGTTTAAATAAAACAGCTGTAGAGTCTGACTCTTGGCGGTCTTCTTGTGGGGGGTCCTGCAACCTTCGCATTACAGTATTAATGTTTTATCATATTTAAGTGTAAATTCAATGGCATTAAATTTATTCACATTGCTATATAGCCCTCACCGTCATTCATATCTACAAGTTTTTTGTTTTGTTTTTCTGTGCTAGTGCTGAGGTTTGAACTTAGGGCCTCATGCTCCCACTTGGCCTTTTCACTTAAGGCTTACACTCTACCACCTGAGCCACTTCCAGCTTTTTGCTTGTTGACTTAATGGAGAAAAGAGTCTCAGGGACTTTTCTGCCAAGGCTGGCTTCAAACCTCAATTCTATCTCAGCCTCCTGAGTAGATAGGATTACAGGCATTAACCAACAATGCCTAGCTCAATAAGTTGGGTTTTGTTGTTTTTTTTTTATCATTTCAAAGAGAAATTCTGAAGTCACTCAACACCCCATTCCTCCCGCTC